GGGGTACACCGCAATCAACACAATGTAAATCATTTGTCAGATCCAATCGGGTTAGGTCCAGATTTTAAAAATAATGAAATGGTATAGGTTTAACGCCCTTATCAACACTAGTAGGCTAACCCAGTTTAACGTTCATCTCCGAAAGGACCGAGACAATTGGGAGATTCTTGTTAAGAGCCTTTCCCAAGGACACAATGTTGGACCCAGCTGAGGCTCTAACCTAACCTTAGGTCCAAACATAACAGTCAAACAAAAAGACCGAGAAGCTTACTCTATAAAAATCTATCACCACGCGGAAATCGACCTCGGTTTTTCTGCCTGCAGCGACGTAGCATCTAACCGTTACGGTAGAGACGAAGGAAAAATAATGAATAGAGGTAAATAAAACTAGTTCTAAATTTTTTGTGTGTTATTGTAACAAACAACAATTTAATGAGACAGATATATAAATTTAGAAGCATTTTTTTTTAAAATTCAGAGCTTGCCTTATGTTTTAGTCAGTGGCGTCGCGTGGGTTGCAGACAAGGTGGTGCATAATTGGAAAGTGAGCAAATGGGCAATAGGCTTAGTAGCGACTATTAAGATTTCTAGAGAAAATCAATTAGAATCTGCAGGATATCCCGTAATCTGCATCTATCAATATTTACAACTGTTTCTAGATGAAGCTGCATAAAAGCTGCAATAAAGTGAAACAATACTAACAACTCACTACGCTCACAATCTGAGAAGATTTAAAGATTTCTAATTACTTCGTGAGGCACCAGGACTTGCTACACAATAGAGGGAGGCAACAGTTTCGATACCCATTCTTCATTGAGTTACCGTAGACTCTACTAGTGTAGTAGATAGGCTAGTGGAAACTTGGATCAAATTTTTAGCTTGCACCAAATTGGTGCTACGAAGAGCAGTTTCATGCATCTTTCTTCTTGTGCGGGAAGAACGATGTGTAGATTTCTCTACAGTGACAAAAATAACTTTGGTGCAGAGATTTTGCTTGCTCCCAGCAGACACTACCGCAACCGGTGCCACGAGCATAAACCATCCTCGCCATCTGTCTCTTCACTGGCGCAGCCAGCGGGGACGGATCGCAAGGATGTAGCCTAGTAGTGTAGTAGTAGGCCTATTGTAGATCTAGGGCACTGACTGGTTTAGAACAATTAGAAAAAGGGGAGGGGGGGGGGGGCGAAGGCCAGGGTTAGGTGGAGCGCTTGCACCAATTGCACCAATGGCGCCCCACCACTGGTTTTAGTTAGACAAAACGAACTTTAGAAATTTTTTAATGTGAAACCCTTGATTGGTTGTCATTCATCCACCGAGAAACAACACATATTATATAAAATAAAGGTAATTTAAAAGAAGACCCCTTTCAAACTAGAAGGTCTCAGGGGTCTTTAAAAACAAACGAACAACAACAACCACCAAAACAACAACAACAAAAAACCCAATCACAATAAACAAAAGGAGGCCTAGACCTCTGTTCTCACCTCCAGACCCTTTAAGACATTATCAAAACAGCACAAGAATGCCGTAACCACAGACTGAAAACTTGAATCACTTCCCGGCCAGCCAACCTGGTACATAATAATAGACATTGAGCTGTTGGCATGTCTTTGATACAATCCGCCGTGGTTATCACATACACAGTCTGCTCCCCTTGTCTGTGCATTTCACCAGGTGGCAAGAACTCATCGGATGTCACCAGACAATAGACTTGTCAACGTCAGTTGTGAAAACCGTACTTCAGTAATATTTTCAGTGTATAAAGACCTTTTTTTCTCCTTTAAAAAATACATCATTGCTTTGTCTTTTGTTTTAGTCAGGCACCGATAGAGACGAAATAAAAATGAATTATACATATAAAACTATTTCTTGATTATTTGTATATTATTGCAACAAACTTTTTTTTTTCAAATTGGTAAATTAAGAAGTACGTCGGACAAAATTAGGTACTGTTTTAAAAAAATCATTCTTTTGTCTAATGTTTCAATCTGACAAAAAACAAAACTAACAAAAAATATTTGCTGCAAACTTGAGACTCCTGACCCGTTGCTATTTATTCGCCGACGAAACAAAGCGTGACATTTCAATGTTGTTTTTTTCTCTAATCCCTTTTAAACTAGAAGGCTTCACTAGTCTCTAAAACCAAATAACAAACAAACAATAAACAAAAGCAAGCCAAGACCCCGGTTCTCACCTCCCGACCTTCTAAATGAAGCCATAGACATTTTCAAAACAGCACAACAATGCCGTAACCACAGACTGAAAAGTTGAATCACTTCCCGGCCAGCCAGCCCGGTACAAAATAATAATAGACACTGAGCTGTCGGCGTGTCTTTGACATAAGCCGCCGTGGTTACCACATACGCAGTTTGCTCCCCTTGTCTGTGCATTTCACCAGGAGGCACGAGCTCACTGGGAGTCACCAGACAATAGGACAATAAACTCGTTAACTTCAAGAGTGGTAACCAAACTCCAATGATATTTACTTTGCATAAAGACCTGCTTAAAAAAACCCAACAACTAAATAAACAAAGGCAGGCCAAGAGTCTGGTTCTCTCTTCCGGGCCCTCGAAGAACGTGTCAAAACACGACAACAATTGCTTGATCAGGAACGGAAAACTTTAATCACTGACCGGCCAGCAAGCTGAGTACATAAAGGGACACTGGTCAGCATGTGGTCACTTTTCTCTGGACGTTCCGAGGATACGCATCGTGTGTGGAGACAATCACCGTTTCGTACATCGTTTGTGGTCGTTTTTCCATTCTCTACCTGAGGGATACACATTATTCTTTTGGAGTCTGTCACCGAAGCTGCACACCTCAGCATGGATGCCATTGAACAGCACGACACTTTTTTCAACTCCTTCAACCTGGTGAGAGGCCCCTGTCTAGGGAGTGGCGCCTTAGGAGAGGTTGTTCTGGCCTCGGCCAAACACAACTCGTCGTTGAAAGTTGCGGTGAAAATCGTATCTTTTGAGACAGAGGAGTGTGAAAGCGACTTTCTCTTTGAAGTCGGCTTCCTGCGTGATCTTCGCCACCCCCGCATCCTCAAGATGATAGCGTTTGCCATGGATGATCACTACGGCTTCATGTTGTCGACATACTTCCAGAACGGCACACTTCGCGACACCATGTCGTCTGACCCCCCTATGGAAAAACCACGGATCCTCCGACACATTCTCGACGTGGCCAGCGCTCTGCAGTACATCCACGGTCTCCACATCTTCCACCAAGACGTCAAGCCGAGA